CTGTTTGACTTTAGTTGAAATTATATTGATTCTGTGTAATTCTATGCTCAGCATCATCGATGAGGTAAAAGTAAGATTATCAGGTGTCAATTCAGTTAAGGAACTTCGTCGGAGCGGTGGCTAAACGAATTCCAGTCAGCCAAAACGAGGGTGCTTTTTCAAGAATTGGTGTCATTAATGGTGGTGAGGATGTGAGTTTGGAGATATGTTCAGTTGATCTTCATATTCAAGATTCTCTGTTGCTCTTCAGCAAATAAATTTCATATCGGAAAATATGTACTTTGCAAATGCATTCTGCATTCAGAACAACTCATGAAATTATGTATCAAAAATTAGAAAGTTCGAATGGGTAAATTTTTATTGCTCTTTGCAAAAAAATTTTCAGGCAGAGATTTTTGCTAATCTCACAACATTCACCAGTAGCTACGAAGCATATAGTGCCATCCGTAAAATGAAATGGAGGAGCGCCGACAACTTCAACATTAGATCGTGAGTCCCAGTCGTTTCGGAGACTAATCGATTTTTGGCGATGTCATTAGTATTCAACCAGAAATTTTAACAATTCCATTAAATCAATGAAAAGAGTCAATACAGAATCAATAAAGGTATTAAATCGATGAATTCAGATCTTTGAGAGCGGCATCAAAAATGATAGACGCTTCGGGTAGAAAAAATGTCAAGAAAATCGTCATCGTATTCTCGGGTAAATCGGAAGATTGCGAATACATGGGGTGAGTACTTATCATATTCAGTATAGCTGTATCTTATCAGTAGGCATTAAACAGGCGTTAGAGCAGCGATCTAATTTATGTCGATCTCATGCTTTGACGCATAACTTTTATTCAGTGTTGCAGCTTCCCTGCGAAGATCATGAATGGCGATTTAGACGACAACCCATGTAATATCGCAAGGCAGCTAAAAGAGAATGGAAACATCATCATGACTGTTGCAATAAAATGCGAAGGCAAATTTGACTTCCCAAGAATGCAATTCGGAAGTGAATGCTACAGGTTAAACTTCGACGACCAATTCGCACAAAACTTCTTACGAAAACTCTGCGATGGTGAGTTATCGATGCGCATAACTTGAACAACTCATTCAATCAATCAATTCATTTCAGTGATTCATAGTTCAGTATTTAATATTAATTTCGTTGCAAATAAATACTAAAGTTTTTCTAATGATCAACTTATCATTTATAGTTCGACTAGCGGAAGATAAGAAATTTGCAAACATTTAGTTGGGATTCGTTAACTTGCACAAAGCTTTTGCAAGTTGTAACATTCGTAAATAGTTCAGACGTGAAAGATTATGGCAACGTCATCAAATTAATGAAATCTAAACGACTTCCTTTTCAAAGCGCTCTTTCGAGATAACTCTCATCATAATTTTCAGCTAATTGCTTCTGTCCACCGCCATTTATGCAATTCACAGACCTCAAAGACAAATGCAGGAAGTTTGGTGAATGCGTCTATCAACGAACTGAAGCATTTTCTTATCAGATTGCTCGTAAAAGATGTGCTTTCTATAATGCTGAAATGACTGAAATACTCAGTCCACAGAAAGATCAATTCCTTAAGAGTAAGTGAATCATTTTCTCATGTTAAGTCGTTTCTGATTTGCCATTTTTGAAGATTCATTCGCATTCGGATTAACGAGAATTAAAATATTATCAATGGATACAGAAGAGTTGTCAAGATTCAATATGCAGATCATTTCGAAATCAGTCATTGATTTACAATGATTGATCATCTGCGGAATCATTGCATAGAACTGATTTACAATGTTTCATAGGACTTATTCGTTCAGATTGGGCTGCTGGAGCAGGTGCACAAAGCCTTTGGCTCGGAGCAACCGGTGTTGATGGCAATTACACGTGGACCATTAGCGGAAAACAGGTCAGTGCAATTTGTTGGCGTTGAATTATGCAGTTGCTCATTGTTGGTGATTACCAACTCCTGGAGATCAAATATTGAAATCACTCATTTTCGCATAGGGCGCGTACTTCTGCAGAGAATCCTACTCATATAGCACGTCTTGATCATCTTGTTTCGTTGTTCCCGTAATTTTGTCACAAGCTACGTATTCAGCAGATGTAAACTGATCGCAGTTCGAGTTACGAACTGTTGATTGAAACTTTCACAGGTAAGCGGCTATCAGCCATGGGCACCAAACCAACCGAACGTCGCTGATGGAAACTGTGCCTTCGAAGATATTAAAACTGGCAACTGGAGCGCAGCACCATGCGAAGACCTCTTCAGTGTGCACGATTTTGCATGCGAAAGAATTGCATGTAAGTGATTTCAGCTGCATTGCTACCTAATTTACCTAGATGACAGATCTTGGAATATTGATTCCATCTTATTCAGAATTTTCTTATCAGTTCTTCTTCAATAAACTAGCATGGACAACTGAATTCGAAACGCCAAAATCGCACTCGAAATTCTCTTTTCTTGCTTGACAGCATTCAAGACTGTTATGTTCGTTCTTGTCTTCTTTGTGATGTTAACTCTGCTTCTTTGTATTTTAAGAGGGATCCCTCAAAAGAAAGTGGTTTAATATCAACCCATTATGAAGTTTTGATAGTGGAATGAACCAAGGATTCGGTTGATTCTGAAGAGTTTTAGAATCTATCAATGAAGGTTTATGCAATAGCCTGGAAGTACATTAATCAGCTATTACTGGTCGTATAGAAATCGGAATTCTATTCCAGGTGACACGAACAATTACTGCGATATGGCTTCTATGCAGCAGTAAACATCGAATGAACCAATCAATAAGTGATTACTGTATTGATCGGTGGTATATGCAGAAAAGAACATCCTTCTTAAGAAGAGATATTTGAAATTTTGGTGATTTCCATTTGGGTTTTTGAGGTCATCACAAAAGGAGAACCAAAAATTTTCTAAAAAGTGAAAGTTTAAATCAAAAGCGATGGTTGGAATTGCTGACATTGAGGGAAGGGGGTACTATTGTCAAATCTGCATATTCCGCTGGATTTTTCCCTATACTACCCAATAAACGTCATTAAACTTCTCAATAAACATCATTTATCAAATAGTGCTTCTATTTATCAGTCTTCACGTATTGTGGTAATTTTTTGTAGTATGTTCTAATAAGCGCTAGTAAAATATCGGTTTTAACGAATCTCATTTGAGGACGAAAAACGGGTTGGAAACTAGTCTTTTCCTGCAATGGATGTGGTAAGAATGAGGCGATTATCAGAGCGGGATACTGCGGTCTATTACATTTGATCCTGGTCTTAGGTTAATGTTCACATCCGTTTTGAAATATCTACTTAACAAATTGATGGTTCCCAGCTACGCTCCGCAACCTCACCTCAAACCTTAATTCTGTGATATCCCGCTCTGATTACCATCAATTCTTAGTGATAAGGGATTTTAAAGGCTGCACGATTGCAGCATTTGAGGTGTAATGGTTAAACCATCGGCTTCTGGCCACTGTCATCAATAGTCCGACGCCGGGCGTTATCGCTTGGATTTGCATTTTCTCTTGATGGAGTGTATTGTTCATTAAAATCATTTCACCATGATTTTCTGCTCTTCACTTCTATTTCCCAATTATTGTGTCGTTGCAGCCTCAAATATCAAATTCCAGGCAGCAAATCCTCGCGCTCAAACTGAAAATAACTTCGGATTCCTATCTCATCGAAGAAAGGCTTCGGTTTCTTACAACTGTTCCAACTCAATAATTTACAACTTCGTACAACTCTTATCTACTCCATCGAAGAAAGAATATAACTGAAGTTATATGACCAATTGATTTCTGGCAGCAATACACCCTGTCAAAGGAAAATACAAAGTCAAATGACAGAACCAACGTTGTATCACTTACTCTATTTGCCAAGAACTGGTGCCTCAACGGCTGATGAATACGATGACTTGGATTGCAGTGTATCAGTTCAATGATAGGAACAGTCAATTTAAATGTCAATAATGAGAAAAGGAATGTAAGTATCCTCGACCGATATATTACGGTTGAATTCAAGTTACCGAACAGAAGCTAACACCAAAACATTGCGGAAATCGGTGACGATGATGTCGTGATCTCTTTGTCTGTCAACGAAAGTGAATGATGAGTTGTGCGTTCTCAAAGGGAAGCAGCATAGAAAGCAGAATGAAGGGTGAAGAGTTCAAGGATGAATCTCTCTTCGTATTTAGAGTTATGCTCAGTTCTGTGTAGAGTTGGATCTGGGGTCATCGAGTTGCGGACGATGCACTCTTAGAAGTAATCCTACCTCCTTTCTTAGCCATTACAGCACATTTAATCAGCTCGCACTGGCTGAAAAGTTCTCTCGACATCGTCAAACGGAATTCATACTGAAGTTGAAGATCTCTGCCTATTTAGGCATCTCTTCGGTTTTGCAGCGCACATCAACGCAAATTCATATCTGTGATGCTACAAAAGAAATGCCACTGACGTTACTCAAAAGTTTGACGTTGATAATCTTATCGTATAAATCAGCGTTTTTAGGCTATCTCTCAGAATTAGTAAAAATTTGATTGAAGTACAAAAGTCAAACCAAGAATGAGTCGAAATATCAAATTCAGACTATTGAATGTGCAATCGGGAATGAATTTCAGTGGCAACTGTGAAATTACAAGCGATCGAACATGTATAGTATTTATTTAACAAAAGTTATGCTATAATTTGCCGTCGCAGTTACTTACAGTCTTATCAGTTGACGTAGGGTGCAAAAAATGACAATAAAGAGCTATCTGTGGCGTGCAAACAAACCTTATAAATTATTCTCCCAAAAAATTTCGGACGTTACATCAAAGTATAAAGTTTAAGAAAGAACGGAAAAAACAGTTAACATTCGACCATAAACTCATGTGATACGCGGTCACAAAAATCAATGTGACACTACAAAGGATAGCCACAAATTTGACAAGGGTAATCTGCATTACGAACATTCTCCAGAATGCGTGTTCATCTCCAATTGTTGGGTTTGTTCGCGCTTTCATTTCGACTTTCGGGTAAGCATTCTCAGAACATCATGACTAGATTGACTCTTTCGTGATCGTTGTTTTCGTTAAAAACGTCGCGTTGTGATCATGCTATATGTTATCACAGCTGAAACGCATCAAACTGCACAGCATTTTGATTGCAAGATCAATTGCTAGTTGAACGGCATTGTTTTACTATAAGCGAACACCAGACTTATCGTTAACCTCAAAAGTATCACAGTAGACTTTCATTTCGATCAAGCGTAATTTTCAGTCACGTTTGGTGCCGAGCGAGAGTGCGCTTGTGACTACAAGAAAACATGGATGGATATTGTATATATATTGGATTCGTCAAAGGAAATGAACCCGCCAGATTTCTATGCCGTAAGTTCAATTCAAAAACATATATCCGTTCAGCAAAATACCTTCTGGAACGCTTTTAACGAGAAATGGTAAAGATTGGAACGTAGCGGCAAGGGCTCCAATTCCAATGATGGCCAGCTACATTCAGCAATGTGTTTGACTGATGCTGTTTGACTTTAGTTGAAATTATATTGATTCTGTGTAATTCTATGCTCAGCATCATCGATGAGGTAAAAGTAAGACTATCAGGTGTCAATTCAGGTAAGGAACTTCGTCGCAGCGGCGGTTAAAGGAATTCCAGTCAGCCAAAACGAGGGTGCTTTTTCAAGAATTGGTGTCATTAATGGTGGTGAGGATGTGAGTTTGGAGATATGTTCAGTTGATCTTCATATTCAAGATTCTCTGTTGCTCTTCAGCAAATAAATTTCATATCGGAAAATATGTACTTTGCAAATGCATTCTGCATTCAGAACAACTCATGAAATTATGTATCAAAAATTAGAAAGTTCGAATGGGTAAATTTTTATTGCTCTTTGCAAAAAAATTTTCAGGCAGAGATTCTTGCTAATCTCACAACATTCACCAGTACCAACGAAGCATATCGTGCCATCCGTAAAATGGAATGGAGGAGCGCCGACAACTTCAACATTAGATCGTGAGTCCCAGTCGTTTCG